TTTTTAAGTGGTTAATGGGTCACGGAATATGGCAGATCCATGCGGAGTTTGTCTGATGAGTCCTGATATCTAGATGTTTCTAAGAGTTGGCAATGTCGTACTAGACCTACACTAGCTTCATCCGTTCCTTTTAGCTCAATCAGGGGGAAACTACTATAATACTAGCGTAGTAGTGGAGGTTGCTAAGTACAGTAGCTACTGCATTACAGTAAGAGTCACTACTACGGCATGAATGTAGTAGTTTGAACGAATGTCAAACAACTGTCTATCCTAGTTTTACAATAAATGAAGTATAACGTAAGAACAAAGAATATTAACACAATCACCATGCATCGTCTACAAAGCTCCAATGGTGTATTGGAATCATATCTATATTGATAACTCCTCACTCGGGCGAAGCTGCTTATATAGAAGAGTTTTTCACTGGGTGCCAACGGCGTTAACCGCTTAAAACAAATGAATAGAAGATTTTTTTCCACAAACAAGAGAAATCTATTGGCCGCTCTGCCAGCTAATGTAAAACGACCAATATTGTTCAACATAGGCAGCATCGTTTGGTAGAATAAACAATTGATTTTTCTATGGGGTAGCTTTGTTCCGGCAAAATCCACTAGCCTAGTAGCGTTGTTAAATACAGTCTATTCTAAGGGCATTCCAAAAGCAATATACAACTCTAAACTTAGCTGACAAACGCTCGCGCTGTTGTCTGATTGGTTTTAGTGTTAATCACGACTATCAAGTTGCTCTCCCCTGTCGTGACCCATTAACCACTTAAAAATGATTTTGCTTTGACAAAACAGAAAAGGGTTTTCTCGATTCGAATCTGGTTTTAGTATATATGGATCATGACTGACACATCTCTATGGAAGGACCAACAGAATTGACTGCGTACAGTAGCTTCATTTTTTCTAGTTTATCTAATGCAAAGTTCTTTGTCGTGCAATTGACGGTCAACCCCTCACCCATGCATCTTCTTCTATGAATTGGTCTTCGGTAAATCGCGCCCCAATCATAAGACAAAGTAACATCTCAACCGGTTGAAAACAAAACGAAAAAAACTCGTTTGTCGATCATACTCTTATGTCTGGGGATGAAAGAAAAAAAAAATCAGCATTGCGTGAACACGCTCGACACGGCTCAGCCAATCACCGGCATTACAGTCGGTTTTCCAAGGTGTGGTCCTAACAATAACTAATAAAAGTA